ACAGGTAGAAACACACAAGGGAATTATGAAGAACTTTTGGAGGCTAAGTGTGGTCTGACTTGAGGGTGAGAAACTGATAAGGTGCCATTTTTAAGTAGACACCCATCCTTTTTTGGGGAACTCCTCTATCAGATTATAACAAATAAGAGCCAAGAAATACTTCCCCCTGACTGTAGCAGGGGGAGGGAAAGAATAAACTTTGTGAAATAATCCCAGAACATTCTCCATAAATAGATGTATTCTTCAAGAGAAAGACTTCGCCAGAAGCTTAGTTCATCTGTGAAAGCACATTTACTTGACCCTACCTACCTCTAGTCTTTCTGGCTTACCTACATGAGGGAAAACAAAGGTAAAAAACAACTGTGAATGTCACAGTCCGGAAGAAACCAAAGCAGCTTGAAGAAGAGGAAAAGGGAGCATGAGGTTTAACCTACACTTAGGCTTTCTTATATGGTGAGAAGAAAAGAAAAGACAAAGAAAAAATCAAAATGAATGCCTCTTTTCTGACTCAACCTGTTGCAAGAGGCAGGAACCAGAAGAGAGAGCTGTGCATTTGGGTATGCAGAAAACTAAAACTGGACCTCTTCCTTCTGCCATACATAAAAATCAACTCAAGATGGATTAAAGTCTTAAGTGTAAAACACAAACTTGTAACATCCCTGCAAGATAAAGCAGGCAATACTATTCTGGAGAGGGGATCTGGCCAAGAGTTCATGATGAAGATCCCAAAACTAATGCAATGAAAACAAAAATTGACAAGTGTGACCTAATTAAAGGCCTTCTGTACAACAAAAGAAACTGTCAACAGAGAAAATTGACAACCTATAGAATGGGAGGTCATATTTGCAAATTATATATCTAATAGAGGTCTAATATCAGGAATCTATAGGAAACTTAAACAAATTTACAAGTAAAAAACAAATAACCTCATTAAAAAGTGGGAAAATTACATGAATAGAGACTTTTCAAAAAAAGACATACATGTGGCCCAAACATAAAAAAATGGTCGACACCACTAATCATTAGTGTATTACATTGTTCTCACATTGCTATAAAGAGTTACCTGAGACTGCGTAATTCGTAAATAAAAGAGATTTAATTCGCTCATGGTTCTGCAGGCTGTACATGAAGCATGGTGGTCTCTGCTTCTGGGGCGGCCTTGGAGATTTTACTCATGATGGAAGGCAAAGTGGAAGCAGAAAACTCACATGGTAACAGTAGGAGCAAAAAGAGAGGGAGCGGGGAAGTGCCACATACTTTTAAATCCCCAGATCTCACAGTAACTCACTGGCCATCATGAGGGCAGTACCAAGGGGCTGCTGCTAAACCATTCAGGACAAATCTTCCCCCATATTCCAGTCATTTCCCACCAAGTCCCACCTTCAACATTGTGGATTACAATTTGACATGAGATTTGGTCAGGACAGAGATCCAAATCATATCAATTAATGAAACACAAGTCAAAACTACAATGAGATACCATTTCACATCAGTCAGAATGGTTATTATCAAAAAGGCAAAAAATAACAGATGCTGGCAAGGTGCAGAGAAAAGAGAACACTTACACACTACTGATGGGAATGTAAATTGCTTTAGCCATTGTGGAAAGTAGTGTGGCTCTTCCTTAAAAATTGAAACAGAATTACCATTGCTCTATCATAAAGACACATGCATGCCTATGTATATTGTGACACTATTCGCAATAGAAAAACATGGAATCAACCTAAATGCCCATCAATGGTAGACTGTCTAAAGAAACTGTGATACATATATATCATGGAATACTATGCAGCCATAAAAATGAGATCATGTTCTTTGCAACAATATGAATGGAGCTGGAGACCATCATCATAAGCAAACTAATGTATGAACAGAAAACCAAATACTACATATTCTCTCTTATAAGTGGGAGTTAAACAACAAGCAGAAATATAAACAGAGGGAAACAACAGACATTGAGACCTACTTAAGAGTCAAGAGTGGGATGAGGGAGAGCAGAAAAAAATATCTCTTGAGTACTACACTTATTTGTTGGGTACTACACTTATTACCTGGGTGACAAAACAATCTTCACATGAAACGCCTGTGACACAAAGTTTACCTATATAACAAACCTGCACATGTATCCCTTAACCTAAAATAAAACTTATAATAAAATAAAACATAATGCTTGTGGTGTCAAATTTACTAATCATCAACTTTGTCATTTTTCCACTGTTTTTAAGAGTACAAGATGTCTTCCATTCTAAGATCCAGAGATTGGATCAGTAACCACATTCATTTCATTCTTCTTTATTTTTGCTTTAACTTAATTTGATGTATGATATGAGAAAAGACTCTAAAACCATATTTTTTTTCTAAATGGTTATCTGTGGATCCCTTGTATTTATTAAACAGTTTTTTTTCCGTAAAAATGTGGGGTTTTTGTGTATACAGACAGATTTATATGTATACACATACATATGCTCACACACTCACATTGACCTATTCCAAAGGCCACACTAATTTTGAGACTAAGAAACGAAACCTGATGGTGTTAAGTTTCAGGTATCTGTTTGTTTTCAGTGTATAAGTCATCTTTAGTAACTAAGTGTTGTATGTGACAATTTCAGACTGTGTACAGTATGCTGGTGTCAGTGTGCCTTATTTCCACTCAGAAGAAAAATATGTTCCTTTATCTGCCTGAACTTGATCTATCTTGAAATTTCTAACCTCACATCCATTTAATTTGTCATGGCATCTAAAACCTTTTGCTGATTCTCGAAAATGGAAATTGCCAACTAGGGATGGCAATATCTGAACAAGACTGATGAGTATACTAATTATTTCAGGCGATAGATTCTCCATAAAGAGGACCCTGTCAATGTTAGCTACCAAGAAAAGGAAAGACAGCATTTTAGCAAATAAGATGCTTAATCAGCAAGAGAAAGTCTTGTAAAGATCAGTTTAAATCTTAAGCATGAAAACCTACTTCACTGAATGTCAAGTTGAGTATTCAGCCTGTTCTTTCCAGTTTAACTTCTATTCAAAGCATATTTATTGAGACCTAGTATATGTTAAGCATCCTCTTCCATGCCATAGGGTATACAGATGAATGAGTTATACTTTCTACCCTTAAGGAGCTTCAGTGTATTATGCACAGCTCACATGTCTTTTGTACCAAATGATTAAATTCTAAAGTGTCTGAGTTGCTCAGGGTAAGTTGAGAATGCAGAGTACAATGGCATCAAACAAAAAATATCATGGTACTGCTCAGCATCCAGTTTCCAGAAAGACCAAAACAGCTGGTGACATTTTCTCTAAGAGGGGTTTAAGAGACTCTCTGTGTTGCCACAACACTCTGAGAACTAAGATAAAATATAAAGAATACATCTAACTAAACCAGTACATATCATTTAGTCATTAGAGAGAATATTATGGCGTTATAAAGCTAGCCACATACATCTACAGAGCAGAAAGCCAGTATTTTGCATGGTTAACTGAGTCAAGGGTGCTGAGAACTCACACAGAAGAATGAAGAATCACTTTCTGGATTTATTAATATTACCGCTGCTGTGCTGCAGCTGGTGCTGCTACTACTACTAGATAATGTTTATGGAGTTTCTACTCTGTTTCAGGTACTTTTCTAATGATTTTGCTAATATTCCATTATTTAATCTTTACAACAACTCCACAAAACCAATATTATTTCTGTACTTTTGTCAATGACAATCTAAATCTTGGAGGCAAACTAACTCATCCAAAGTATATGGTGTAGCCAGAACTTATCAATTAGGCATTGGTGACATGGACAAAAATGATCTGAGTGGAGGAGCAAGAATCTGAGACAGATGGGAATGGGTTACAAAGTAAATATACATGAGAATGTACAAACAAGCAGCAGAGGAAACATATTTGGAGAGAAATCTGTATGAATTGTTTTTAATTAATGAAGGAAACCTCTACTGTAATGAGATGGAGGAATGAAAAGACTGGAGCAGATATAGGTGGGTGTGTAACATGAAATAAGCAGAAAATGAAGGGCTTTTTGTCTGATGGTATCTATTTCTCTTATGAAGGAAGCAACAAGATCATTTTGCACACTAAAAAAGGGAAGGTGGAGTTACAGCTTTGGAAGAGGGTGATTATGCTTGACACAGACCATGGAAAGCATGAAAGCATCAGTTAAGAAAAGAAGTATACTAGAAATGTGTAGCAATGTTGAGGATAGATTTATTTAAGGTTAGTGACCATGCATTTATTGTAAAATAAAATTGCAGTATTTTAGATTTTCTCCTGCAGCCTTGAAATTTCCCATGGCGGGGAGAGAAAGTGTAGATATTTGAGGTTAGCTCTTCTTGGGTTTTACCAAATAACTGCAGTGACAGATGAGTAAGAAGATTAGAATGGTGGCAATAGTATTGTTGATGGAATAATAATTGGGGAATGCAGAATCTAAGCTGGATAAAGAGGACTATGAAGAAAGTCGAGGACTGATCAATAGGGAGAAAGCAGAGAAGTGAATGGACTGAATGTCACAAGAATCAGGGGCTAATTTTACACAATTGGGATTCTTTAAGCTAGCTGGAAGGGTTAGAGATAGTGTTCAAGAAAGATATATTTGAATCGATGCTTTCCGTGGCAGCATAGCTTTAGGTACGGACAGAGTCCGCAGTGTAAATGGAGGAATGGGTAGATAAGCTGGAATGGAGAAGAAAGGTTGCTTCTTTCCAGATATGCTTATCTTGGCATAAATTCTAGAGGTTTCCACTATTTCTTTCATTATCTCCATAACTTGTGAAATGAGAATATTTATGGTTTATCGATATGCTATTTTTTTGTCTTTGTTGTAGGAAATGTGAAAAATCAAAAGGTAGTATTTCCTTCTACACTCAAGTTTTGTGTTTTGTGACCCAGGCCACTGGCTTTAAGCTGGAGTAGAACATCCCCTCCCCTGAACACAGGAAGTACATTGCAAGTATCTTGTAGTCACTGTTTTTTCTTTGAATTTTTATTTTTAGATGTCACAGGAATTACAGAGAACTACAAACATTCAGTGACTAGTGACCAGATGCTCTGCAATGCTAGAACAGGCTTCGGAAAAAGAAGACTCATACCATTTTCTGCACTACTTTGGAATATCCCACCAGATGTTATTGTATGTATAAAAATTGTTCATACTTAGCTGAGTTTGAAAACAACTTTCATTTTACATAGAAACCCAAAGTATTTGTTGCACATTTTAATAATCACTAAAATGTTTTTGGAGGTGCAAAATTTCTTGTAAAAATGGGAAAGTCTGTCCTTAGTTTTGTTTGGAATTTTGTCAAGAGTTGTAAACCATATCACAAACTTTAGCATCAATAGGGGTTCTGTTAGACCTATTTGAGGTACCTGTATCTGAGAATTGATAAAAATAAATTTTTACTTTGAAGTTCATTCAATGGATCTAAAGGTAATTATTTTCAAATTTGCAGAATTATGAGTTGCAGTGATCTCATTGAATTTCATCAATAAATGTTGTTTTAAGAATATTATTACTATTATTACAATACATAAATTAGGTCAATTAGATATATTAGTTGTAAGCATTTCATACAAAAATTTTCATTAAATTGTCTGGGTTGCCTATTTGTTTTCAGTCTTATTCTGATCCTGCCCTCTGAGGTTTATTATAGCCACTCTAGAACTTGTTTTATTAGGTTCCCTTTCTAATATATCTTTTGTTCTCGTTGTCTATTGAAAGATATGTTATCCCAGATTTATTTATGTATCAGAGACCTAATGTATACCTCGACATGTGCTAGGATTTCAAATTAGATGTGTTTTTCCTAATAACTCATACTTTCTTGTCCTATCTCATAACTCATAACAGTGGGAACAGATTCATTTGCAAGAATCACATGCCTATTCCTTTTCTCATCTTGAAGTGTGTAATTTGTTTGGCCATAATTATGGCCATTGCAATAGTGGTTTTCTCCTTCTTTGCTCCATTACATAAAAATCCACCTAGCCCATTATTACTTAAACTAGCATGCTTTCACTCATTATTAATTTCTTTCCTTGAACTTACCTTTTATATTCTGGAATTGTATTATTTTCACCTTAATTACATAAGTATTCAGATTTCATTTTGTGTGGCTTTCTTTTCATGGTAGTAAAATGAGTGTTACAAAACATTTGTTAAAAAAGAGAACATCTGATTTGATATGGTTGAGCTTCAAATGCTGAGCTGCTCTTTTCTACCAGTTAAGAATTTGTATGTTTCAATGTTAGATACCTCAAGAAATCATGCTGGAATTTACAAGAAGGAAACTGATGCCTAGACCAAAAAGCGAGGAATGGCTTAACCTAGGATACTCAGTGGATTTGCCTAAAGATTCCAAACTGGGATAGGTTGTAATTTTGGTAGCAGACTTCTTGAGTAGAAGATACATGTTTCCTGTTTCCATGCAAATCTCCAAAGGGCAGATGGCTAAGTGGTACAGATGGACATTAGAGGCTTTAGGTTGGGAACCCTGTTCTATGCTTAAGCTTGGCATGAAAGGAAGAGAGAGCCACCTAAGTTTGAGCAAAGTAGGCTGGTATGAGCAAGGACCATGAAGCACTTGAGAACAGAGGCTCATCGTTACATTTTATGTACTGAATAGTCCTTCTGTCTCCCGTATAATCTCACGTTGGGGGTAGTCTCCTAAAACACTGCTGAGATTAAATATTCTATCAGTTTTAACAGATGGGTACTAAATTAGATTTATTTGATTAAGGAAAAGGAAAACTAAAAGTTACCAGCCTTGAAATGTACTGATGAAAATTCATACCAGTTGTATATGAGCTTGTTGATATTATTTTAGACATATTTTCATCAGAAAAACCTTGAGAAACCTTTACTGAGAGACTGCTAATTCTGTGGCTTTGTAACTGCATATTGGGAAGCAGTAGTAGCTTCCAGGTGACCTTCGGTCCTATCCTTCCATCACCTGTAGAATGAATATCTTTCTATCTTTATATCTTCACATCTACTAGTCTCTCTGTGAAGGCCCCAGGGGAACAAGTCAAATATGAGGTTCTACTTTGCAGAAAGATTAACACGTTACTCCAGTTTGTACACTGCAGAGGGCATGATAATATTTCTGCTGAAAGAGACACTGCACATTGTCAAAACCCAGTGCTTTTTGTGAAGTTGGTGTTTGTAAGAAAGTGGATTGAATTAGTCAGAGTCGGACAATGGTTGGAATAAATCACCAGGGAAGACCATGAGTGGCAGAGAGAGGCTATTGGGGTGCATACTCTTGGGAAATAAGAAAACAGATTTTTGAGCCATGCCAAATAAACAGAATTCTCTAGGCATATCACTTAAAAGTGATTGGATAGTGAATTAAAACGTCCACATTTGTATTTTCCGCTGAATGACTGTTGCACAATGAGCTAATCTGAATGCTTTTGAGGATAGTTCTATGTGGCTTATTTTCTACTCAACTGAAAGCTCTCAAGCCCAAGACAAGATATTTCAATTGTGTGGCTTCAATTGTATGAGTTGTCACAAAATGAGGTGGGGAAGAAGTATTGCTCTTTAAAAGTTAGTGAACCGTGGGGATTTTACGTGAATTGTAAAGAGTTCAAACTAGTCAAGGAAAGAAATGGCAGACGAACAACTCAAAGAGAGTTCCAGCAATGCTTGAAAGACATAGGCATTGAGCTCCAAGGGCTTTCCTTTCAGAGATGCACAGCCTAGGCCTTGGTGACTTCAATAGATGGTCAAGAAAATGTCCGTGTTATTACTCTGTTCTTTTTGCTGAATACAGTTTCCACATCCATCCTCAAGACAAGTTTATAGCTAGCTCCACACAGCACGTAAATTGCTTTGAAAAGACTCCAAGTAGTGAAATTTGATCAAACAAGTGGTTACTTTGAAAACTACTCATTAGCATCCAGTTACCAAGCAAAGCATTGACTGAATTAAGTTGCTTGTTTTCAAACACCTGTTTAAAAATATACCATATGCCGACTAAGTCAAATAGAAGAGAACTTTTACTTTCAGAGACGAAATCTGAGACACTTTTTAAAAAACAAATCATAAATTTCAAAGCATTTTATGTCCCTTTGAGGACCACCTGTTTTGGGGTATCTTTTAGTGACTAGTTTATAAATACTGCAAGAATAAATCATTGCCCCTATAGGATCTTCATTCTTCTTGAATCCTAAGCAGCATTTGACACTGTTCACCTTCCTATTTTGCAACTCTATTTTCCATTGTCTTTCGGTATGCTGGGTTCTTGCTTTAGCTTGATGACTCTTTCTAATCCTATTTATCTTCCCCATTCCTGAAATGCTCGTTTGTTATCCACAGTTCTCTTTTAGACTTTTCACCCTTCTCAGTCTGCAGTCTCTCTGGCCAATCTCATCCTTCATTAGTCAGTCTTCAATTTTCCTCTGTACGTGTGTTGTCCAGTAGGTCAGCCACTTGCTCCGTGGCTATTTAAATTGAAGTTAATTAAAAGAAAATCAAATAGAAAATGTATCTCTTCAGTCATACTAGCCACGTTTCAAATGCTCGATAACCACATGTGACCAATAACTACTATCTTGGATAGTGCAAAAGTAGAACAGCTTTATCATCAAAAAAGTTATATTAGAAAATTTTGCCTTTTATGCAAATGGTTCTCAAATAGGTCTCCAGTCCAGACATTTCTCTAGGGCCTCAGATCCATAATAACCTAGTGGATATTTCCTGGTGGATGTTCTGTAGAAGTTGCTGACAAATTATTTCCACCAAATGTCTCCTTTCCTGGAAGTTAAACTAGACCCTTGAATGAAGATATAAGAAATCTGATCTTTCTTCTTTTTCTTTCTTTCTTTTTCCGTCATTTGCTTAAAATAATCTTCTTTCTTTAAAAAGAGGAGAACCATTCCAAGTTTGACTTTTCCCAGATGATTAATTTTAATATTGATAGTTCTTTCAAGTAAAGAAGGCACCCAGTTATCATGTGTTGCATGTGACAATCTCTAAGTTGAATCATCCCTTGAAATGACCTTGTAACTGGCATGAATCCTCCCCATTACCCCTGCCCCCAAATTAATTTCACATACTGAATACAAAATGAGGCTAACAAAGCAATCTTTGTAAAAGGAATTCCACAGATTGCTTAATTGACACTTTCAAATCTCTCATTTATTTGGATTCATAAATCAACAGAATTAGACTACAAATTAATTCATTAGTACAAACAATAAAAAAATGAGGTCAGGATTATTAGAAGAAGAATAGATGAGAAGATGAATTGATCCATAGTCAGATGTACAGGTTGATCTCTGAAACTCAAAAAGTAGGTCAACTTTTTCCCTCTCTCTTAATTACATGCCCACATGCTTTCTTCAGTCAGGTCTGGAAATCTTGGATCTTATTTCTACCCAGTGTAATTATGTTTCCATATCTGATCACGTCCAATTTTGAAGTGAAATAAACAGTAGGAACTAGTCACATTAGCAAGTGGAGCCACCAAATTACATTCATTAGGCATTGTTTAATTTTGGAGTGCAATCCTCCAGTGACCCCAGGAAAGTAAAAAATCAGTTTACAATTAAGGATCTATGATACTTCATAAATATACATCCTGTATTAGAAAGAATCTGTTATTTCCCCCTCTATCAAAGAGAATCTTGATCTGGAAAGGGCTTGAATAAAGAATAATTACACTTCGATGAAAGAAGTTGAATTCACCTTGATCCAAATCGGGTCCGTAATTTTCCACTTTAATGCAGTATAATGATCCTTTGGATTTATAATTATAAACCTTCAGGAGAATCTCTGTGTAATTCTAAAGTAACAGCAAGGTAACAAGCTATGTTTCTTATTTCATTTTCTACAAAATACATCACAAGTCTATACTGAATTACTAGTCATCTTTTATTATAGTCATTTCTTGTACTTTCTAAAAATTCTCTACTCCCTAGGCAAATATATAGCTCCCATTGTCAGTCTTTCTACCCTCTTTTGAATACATTATTCTCCACAAATCTGAAGCAAACTACTTCTGATCAAGCCAGCAAAATATCTGTACCTTCTTAAAGATTTTTTTTTCTCAAAATTTTTTCCTTGGTCAAGATTTTTTTTCAGAAAGGCTAAGCAAAACCAAGGAGGGTGACACTTCACCTCAATAACTAAAATGGCCAAAGAGACTACTGTTAGTCTTGCTTGTCCTGTGTTTGCCTATTCACTACATTGGATGACATCTCATTTGACTATTTAATTAGATTATAGAGCAGAGTTACATGTACTCTACATGACAATGAGAGAAACTTGCACACATTCACAGACAGAGAGACAGATATCAAAAGAGAGATAGGGAACGAAAGAAGGAGAAAGAGAAAGAGAACAAGTTCACGTGTGAGTCAGAGAAATGAAATAGTATTACCTAGTAGAAAGGACATGACCTTTCATACACATTATGTAACTTTGAACCAGGTATGGAACCTTCTGAGTCTCAATTTCCTTATATGTTAGAGTA